TTTTTGTGTCTACACAGCACTTATTTCAAAACTCCTCCCTTTGTACATGGAATATGCCCTAAATAGCATTTTTGGCTGTGTAGATATGCCCTTAGTGTAACTCCAGGAAGGACGATAGAGTCTTGCCAGCTTGCACTTTGCCTGAATTTCAACCCAGGAGGGTCTGCAACTGTGTTTTTACTACCATGGTAACTATGTGTGAGCTGCTGGATGTTGACCTGGGAGCTGAGTAAGTCTCCCTGCTCTAGCCAAAGTGCCAAACACATCTCTCAGTCACCTGTCAATGCAGCATGTTCCACTGCCGCTAAGGGAGACACACCGTTACAGATGCAGGCTGAGAGCTGTTATGTGATTAAGCCCAGTCGGCCATGCTGAAATCAATGGAATTAACCCATTCAAAAACCAGAGTAACTGAATGTAGAAACTAGATTAGCACATTAAATTATTTGAATAGATTTTGTTAATAAAGAACAGCGAATAGAGTTTATTCGTGCTTTGTATGAACGGGCGTCAGTGGAGAGGGTGCGGGTGCTGAGAAGCTGAGGTGCGAGGTTTGGGAAGCTGTTGGGTTTGGTTGCACTGAGACTCTGTCAGTGGCTGTTAGTGTCGGAGGAAGATCAGAAGAAGCAGGACGATAAGAACCCCCACAGCCCCTGTACTTGATGTAAACAGCTTCCACGGTTCCCAGCCTGGTTCTCTTATTGAGTCCAATGTAACTTCTCACTTTCTGCTCAGTTAAACGGGGCTCCAGGTACATCTCATTGGTGTAATACCAGCCCCCGTTCTCCTGCACCATTCTCTGGATCACTTCCACCAGCTCCGAAACCTGCTCCGTCTGCTCAGTTGCTTTGTTGTTGAAAGCGCAGTAGCGGTTCCTGCACGCCTGAATCAGCGCCTGAAGATCTTTGTTATCTGAGTGTCTCACATAGTCGTGCAGGGAGCCTACCGCTAGATCTTCTTTCCGGGTGAACAGGACGACCGTGTGCCTCATGGCTCCATCTCCAAAGATCTCCCAGACTCGCTTCACGGCTTCCTTGTCTTCATCAGTGTAACGGCCCAGCTGGGTCACCAGCACCAGAGCGTGGGGGCCTGGGGCAGAGAGTGCGACACAGTGACTGATCTCACTACATGTCACTGTATCACACACCTTTCGGTCAAAGATGGCAGGTGTGTCAATCACCACGAGCTCCCTCCCGTTCCAGCTCCTTTGCCCCTTTTCACAAGTCAGAGTCACTGGTGTCGCCCGGAGTTTGGACTCAAATGTTCGTTCGCCAAGGATGGTGTTTCCCGTGGCACTTTTCCCAGCACCGGTTTTGCCAACGAGGATGATTCTGAGCTCCGATATCCCACCGTTGTCTGCGGGTTGAACAGTCAGAGCATCATTGCACATAAATAAAAGATACAAGTCCTACCCATGTACTATTTATACACCTGCTAATTAATGCACACAGCGTACCCTGGGGCCTAGAGGCCCAGAGTAACTAACGTCCATCCCATCCCACATCTCTGCTTGGCTCTGTCCCCATGGATTTCCTGACAATGACCAAACCTGAGCCCCTTCTCCTCTCTCCTGCATCTTCTCCTCTTCCATCTTCCTCTGACACTTTTCTCAACACCCCCATTCTTGCCACCCCTCAGCCCTGCAATCTGGGGAAAATTGTTGAGCCCTCTCTCACCTTCACCCTGAGTATGTCGGCCACATCCAAATCCACCCTGTTCTTCCCCCTCAGCCCCTCCAGGAGCTTCCTTCCCTCTCCAGCCCGACCTCAGAGTTCCTTCCCAGAGCCCATGTGTTCTGCCTGGATTATGCACCGTTCTCCTCTCTGGCCTCCCCAACACGCCCCAGGGCCTCTGTCCAGTCACAACACGGCCCCTGAATGTGTCTTCCTCCCCGTTTGACTGAGCCAACAGGGCCGGTTCTTACACCGCACTCCTCACTGTCCAGCCACAGCACCTGTCTCTGGTGGGACACAGACACACCCCGGTTTCTGAGAGTCAGACGAGAACACAAGACGCATCCAAAGAGACCCTTGTTCTGCTCAGGCCATGTCCTCCTGCGGACGGAGCTCAGCCTCTCAGACCTCTGAGCATTTCCCCAGGGCGTTTCCGCTCCTTCTCGCTACCTTCCAAAATATCTGCACCAACACTCCTCACATGTGATTAGTGATTATTGCACAACCATCCTGGGCCCTCCTCTTTCAGGCGTGGCCTTACTGGGCTCCCAGCTCAACCCCTGCCATGTCCACGCCAAAGTCCCCTGCACAGCCCACTTGTGTGTGCTGCACCCAGGGAGCCAGGGCATCTTGGCTATAAATTGCCTCCTGCTCTCCCCTCACACTGCGGAGCGGGGCAAATGGTCCAACCTGCCTCACACACGTTTGTTTGCACGGTGCAAGGCTGCAGTTTGCCCAGGTTGGCAGAAATGCCTGAGGGAGCTGGGGATGGGGGATGGGGTGTGCGTGGTGCACGGACTCTCCCTGGACTGGAACAAGGCCCTGCCCTGCCTCCCCTCTCGTCCCCTTTCTCAAAAGCTGCAGCTGTGGCAGCCCAGCATATAGACGGAATGACGGACCCTGGGAAAGGTTTTCTCTGCGGGGGTTGTCCCTGCAGAAGGCAAAGTTGCATGGGACACGTCACTGCCACCCCCTGGAATGGCTACATGATGCTGGGTGACCAGCGGTGTCCTCAGAACCTGCCTCAGTCCCCGAGAGCTCATGTGGCTCACTTGTGTATGCCAGGGCTGAGCAAAATCTAGGGGTGAGGCCAGAATAGGGCCCCTGGTGTCCCTCTTACCAACATCTCCTCCCGGCATCCTCCTGTCCATCTCGCTCTGAAAGAGGTGCAGTAAAATGTGTTATTTAAACACGTGTTACCCAAGGAACTCAGCAGATAAAGAAATACCCGGCTAGACAAACCCAGCTATAGAAACAATGGGCAGTAGCATGGACAAGTGCTGCTACCAGTGTGATCATGGGCGAGATGGGAGTTTCGGAGCAAGTCACCTTGAGGTTTCGTGTTTAACCACAGTCAGTGCATCTGCTTAGCTCTGAGTGCTGGGGGAGTTCTACTGACATCCAGAGAGTGACTTAGGTGCCGTACGCACACGTGTGTTGGCTGCCATAGGCCACAACAGCTGCTCTAAGTACAACTAGCTCAGAAAATCAGTCCTGTTATTGCAGCCTCGTGCACACAAATGTTTTCATCAGCCATCGAGATTCTGGATTCGAGAACTGAGTCAGCAGTTTGACTTGGTCCATGAGGCAGAGGGAATGCCGCTTGCACTTCAGCACCGACTCGGCCTTTGCGTACCCACTGGTACAAACCAGGCATCTGTTTCTGGTCCAGCCCCTTTCCCCTGGAAAATGCAAAATTGCATCGACCAAAACATGTTGCGAATTTGAGTTGAATTTGCCAATGTATTGGCCTGGAAGAAAGTTCAGAAAAAGTTGAAATATGTCTTGTCAAGTCATTCAATAAGAAATGTTTAGATTTTCTGTTCAAATGCCTTTTTATTTTGAAATTGGCCTTGACTTTACTCTAAAAAAAAGTAAAAAGTAAAAAAATCCCAAATGAAACAAAATGCTTTGTGTTGGGTCAAAGAAAACTTTTTAACCCAAACATTTTTTTCTTTTGCCATTTGCCAAAGAAAATAGATTTTTCCCCAGTTCGATGTGATTTGTTTAAAAAAATTCAGTCCCATCACTGAATCAAAACCCTGGTTACTTGCACAGCTCCAGTCATATCCTCCGGATTGAACATCATGTGTGTGTATTGGTAGCGCACTGAGCAACCTGCTGTTTGAAACTGGGAGAGGTGAATAGCTGCAAATTCATTCTTATCCCCATTCTGCCCCCTCGTGCAACTCAGCACTGCTGTCTGGGGGAAACCTTCCTGGTTTCTCAGCCAAATCCTTGGTGGAGGCCACTGGACTCAAGAGAACAAATTCCACGGGCAAAACCAAAGTGCTCGGTTGTGCCAACTTCAGGGTATGTCTACACTACCCCGCTAGTTCGAACTAGCGGGGTAATGTATGCATACCGCACTTGCTAATGAAGCCCGGGATTTGAATTTCCCGGGCTTCATTAGCATAAGCGGGGAGCC